AATCACACTTGTTTGCTGAATTTCATCCACCAAGACCACAAAAAATTGGACTCGAATGTAATATATAATATCCCAAATTTTGGAAGTTTGATGAGTAAAGTATAAAGTTATAAAAGTACAAGGACTAAAAATATAGTTTTCAAAAGTTATATTTTGGATTGTAATTGAGTAGTTCAGCCTAAGAATAATATTTTAGTGGGTTTCATATTTTTGATATGTAGTTTTCATAAAAGTTTATTAAGCGATAAAAATTGATAAAATATTCGGATAACCGGATCGAATCGTAAGTATGAAAAAATTTGAAGGAAGGTAATTTAGGGGACTTGGAAGGCTATTTGAATGGAATTAAAGTTAGTTCATTTAATGAAAGAAAATTATTATCGAATATGCATTGATGGCAATTTTTAAAATTTTATTCGAATTCGAGTTTATTATATAATTAGCAAAAATATTAATTAGTGATCGAAATTGGAATTGTCAGGAAAATGATAATGTGTAGATTGCAATCGAAATCAATCTCTGGGTGAGTTAAAATAAAGGGATAAAATTTGAGAGTAAAGTGGTTGTAGTGTTAAAGTTGGTAAGGCAACATGTGACTACAACTAGCTTTTTATAAAAAAATAAGACGAGGACAACTTACGATAAGTTAACCTCGATCAATCTAAAAGGAAAAGAAAAGAAAAGAAAAATGTTTTAAATCATATTTTGAATAAGTGCAAATTATTTTTATTATATTCCATAATATCTTAATATTTTTTTATATGAACTACCCAAATTTGATTTTATGAGAATTGTTTTATATTAGATTATCTGAATTACTTTTATATGCAAATTAGTATTAGATTTAAATATCATTGTACTAGAATGAGGGTTCGTGATACAATGACATGTCATGAGGTAGAGTGATATTTGTTATTTGAATTATGTACATTTGTGGTTATTTAATGTGTAGGCTATGTGGGTTTTTAAACAATTTTGTGATTGGGTGATACATATAGTAAAAGCATTTTAACTAAGTCAACTTACTTGTTTGAACAAAAAAAAATCCAAAGCTCCTAATCTTCTTTCCTTGTTATTTTTCTTTAAATCTACTGAAATCATGTGTACAATTAAAATTGTATCAATAATATATAATCTAGAAAATTTAAAACAAAACTAGAACTATAGTAGTACTTAAATAAAAATTAAAATACTAAATCTAACTTACTATATTTTCATCAAATTTTCTTACTATTCTTTCCTCTTTCTTTCTTCTATTTTTTCCCCAAAGTTCATCTTCGATTTTACCTATTTAACGTAAAAATCAACTCTAACACACAAAAAAAGTTATTTTTCCATTACCTACCCCTATCATTTACCCCTACATAATATAATCTAATTTTTAATAAATTATTAATACCCTTACGCTATATGTCAATCCTATCCTATCACATTTCTCAAATCCTCTGCGCTGCCCTGCGTGGCCACCGCCTGACCCCTTGTTGCCTGCCTCGCGTGGGCCCCGCCTGATTCAAAACAAAGCTGCAATTGGCAGAATGCATGTGCGAATTGAGAAGTACCGTGTTTTGATTTTAAAATATTAGGAACAGTAAAGACGTCATGAAATTATACCGCCTTGAATTTTTTAGTAAAAAAAATAATAAACAGTAAAAATGAATTGAAAGTATTTCGTCTTTAATTTTTTTTAGTCCGAAAATTTTTTATGGATAGTAAACAACGGGTGGTTTGTACTCCAACTTTGTTTTCACTGTAAATTTTACTATGCTTCGAAAAATAAAAACGTGAATATAATATTTTAAAAATAAAAAAACGAACTATATATCTTCGTAATTTTGATATTTAAATTTATTATTTATTATTTTATTTTCAAAAATTTATATTAATTAATTTATATAAAAAATTAAAATTAGTGTTGTATACCATGTTACCGTAATTAACTGGTATTCAAATTTTACGGTTCATGAGTTAGGACACATAAAGGGTAATGTATACAAATAATCCATTCATTACATGATATTGTTTAATTGAGTCATTTAATTATTAAAAATTATAAAATGATCCCTCAATTATAGATAATTACTTTATTTTGTCCCTCAACTATTAAAGATTACAAAATGATCATTCGACTATTCATTATGTTCTAAAATAATATTTTTCATTAAAAAATTAACGATTGCCTAAACTGAACGTTAATATGTTGACTGAGATATGATAATTATTTGAGATTATGAGATCAAATTTTATCGTACTTTAGTCAGTGGGTTAACGTACAACTCATATTGTTGTCAAATATTTAACGAAAAATATGAGTTTGGAATATAATGAAAAGTCGAGTGACTATTTATAACATTGAATAGTCAAAGGACTGAACAAAGCAACTCCCTATAATAAGAGAACCATTTTGTAACTTTTAGTCGGGGACTTAATAAAACATTATCTTATAGTCGGGTGACTAGGGCTGAGCAACAAACCCGAGAAAATCGAAAAATCGATCCGAACCGGACTATGCGATTTGGTTCGGTTTGAGTTTTTCAATTTATGGTTCAATTTAAAAAAAATATACAATAAGGTTTGATTTTGGGTTTTTATAAGGAAACCGTTTGAATCGAATTTAAAAAGAAAAGAAAATAAGTATCCAAAGCACATTTACTTTAAATTTATTATAAGAAAAATTTAAATAAATAAAACATTAAAACTAATAATATTTTTTTATAAATATGAATTTACATATTTACACTCGATTTAAACTTTAAATTTATTTTTAAGAGGTTGAGTTTGAAAAACAGTGAGCGGTCAAAAAATATTGAATCAAATAATCATGGTTTTTATGTCATCCATTTTCGGTTTTCATTTTAAAAACCGGCAAAATGAAGTTCAATTTATATTTTAGTGAAAATTGAACCAAAAACACCCGTACATGTCACCATTTATATACTTTACCCTATTTTAATATTAAAAATCGAATAACTAACATTTTGAACATTCGAATATGTGAGTACCTGATAATGAATCTCATATTTAAGACCATAAACAATATATTTTTATATTTAATACTGCATTAATTTGGTAATACTCTTATGTTTTATATATATATTTGAAAATAACTAATTTGTGCAGCGCTATAGATGACAGCTCATTAATAAAGTAAACAAATTTCCTTTTAGTGCTATATAAAATTTAAATATCTATTTTCAACAATTTTAAGAAAATATTTTACATTGTCCATCACGTCACGTGTATGATGTATTACTGTTATTTTCTGTTTATTTAATATTAGGGTAAATAATACGTTTAGAACATAAACTGTCAGTTTTGATATGTTAAACCTAATTTTTAATTTTTCAAATCTATATATAAAGTTCAATTATTTCATTTTAGTACCATTGTTTAAAATGCTACATTATATTTTTTTAAAATCGAAATTGTAAGTATTAAAATGGACCAAATTAATAGTTTAGGTACTAAAGTTTTTTTCTAATACAGTGAGAAAACAAAATTAAATGTTAGGCATAATTTTAAAAAAATTGTTAGTTTAAGTACTAAATGCACAATTTACTCTTAATATTATTATATTTTTATTAGAAATAATCAACTTGCTGATACTAGCAACTAATCCGGAGTACCTGACGACAATTACTAAAATAATGTTCCAAATGTTACTTTAAAAAAATCGAAAAACAATACTTAATTCTTCTGTTAATCCATGTATTATTCGTAAACTATAGATTCAGTATGTATTTCGACTTGAATCTTTTTAGTCTTTATACATTTTAAATTTTAAAAATAGATAACGATAAAAAGGCTATGAAATCTAATAAATTAAATTGAGTTTTTTGTCTTTGTATTATACATAAGTTATAGATTTAGTTATTGTTCGTGAATTTGATCATTTATACTTTTTCACATTTTTTACACCAGTAAGTAAGATTTATAATATTATTTTAAGTTAAAAAAAATCATGATATTATTTAATAAATAAAAAGTTATCTAAAATTACATAGTACATTAACATGTATTTTAAAGTTGTGAAAAAGTACGCGAGTTAAATTTAATAAAAATGAACTTACAACGAATAAAAAATAAAAAATAAGGAATTTAGTGATCAAATCATAAAATAGTCAAATTATTTAACCAAAAATAGAATCAAAATCATTTTTTTTTTCTTTTCTGTTATTTAAATTCAACTTGAATAAAAGAATCCAAGTTGAATCGAATTACTCGAACAACTTGTAGTTATAAAAATATCTTTTGGACGAATTGATTTTATTCACCCCTAATAGCATTATTTGAGTTCGGACTGAAATTTAAAATTTCGAAAAACACATGAACTAAAATTGATTAAATTAGACTATATAGACTAAATCCATAAAATTAACATAGTACATGGACTAATGGTAGAAGTCGACCAAAATATTTCATTTTTATGGGCAAGAGATAGTGGAATCTTTTCCAAATCTCCAATCCAGTATCTCAACTAGGAAGAGCCAACTCGATGTCTCGCTTGCTTCCCAACTTCAAATTCTTTTAAGGATAAATTACACAAATCATCACTCAACTTTATTTTCGCTCCTATTTCATTCACTGCATTTTAAATCCGTTCAATTTTCTTATTGAACTTAGCATAATTATCATTTTTGGTCACTTAACCGTTAAATATTTAAAGGTGTTAAAAAGATGTTGTTTTAGAAAAATAAAACTTTCATCAAAACAACATCGTTTTTCTTCTATATAACAGCTTATTTATAATAATATTTAGTAAGAAAAGAACTAAGTGATAAAAAATGCTAATTATATTTAGTGAAAAATTGAACATATTTAAAGTACAGTGAGTAATTTAGGAGAGATAGTAAAATTCAGTGATGATTTATGTAATTTACCATTCTTTTTTAATATCTGATGCGTGATATTTGTGCTTTCTTTACTGGTGATTCAATCTTACATTTTGTATATATAATTTCACCTAAAGCGTTGACACTAATTAATCCCCCTTCACCACACCTACCATTGCAAAAATTTTCTGGAAAACAAGCAACAAATTCTCCCATGGAAGTTCCCCTTTTAGCTTTGGTGCCAAATGAGAAGAACAATAAGAGAGACAATCACTTGAACAAAGCTCTCCGATTCTTCCTTGTTTGTGTCACCTTTTCAAGTGGGTTTCTCTTTCATCTTCTATTTACTTGTAGTTTAATGTTTCCCATCAAAGACTGGTTCCGTCTGTATATTTTCTTTCTGGGTTTCCAGGATTATTTGTCCTGCTCTTATCCATTTCATCAAAGTCAACATGTGTACATGTATATATATATATGTGTGTACATTTACTCTGCCAAATGCTCATAAATAATACCCAGAGTTACCTTTTTGATCCTTTTGAATATAACATGTCGTATTTTGTGATTGTCAATGAATGGTTGGATTAGATTTCGGGTAAGATGCATTTTCATTTGTTAAATTTGACAGGAAAGGTTTTTGTAATAATAAAATTTATTTTTATTACAGCCTTATGAACCTGGACGGTTTTTGTGATCTGATACCATGATTATATCAGTTTAGGGCTAATGATTCTTCTTGATTCATGTAGTTTTATAATCATGTCTTGTATGCTTTGTTTGATGCTGGGATGTGGTGTATGTTTCAGTTGTTGGGCTGATAATATTTGGAGATGGCTTTAGTTACTTATTAGTTAGAGGAGGGAACAAGTATGATAGAAGGGTTGGAGTTAGTAGCCCCGGTAGTGTTGAGTCGGAGCACGGAGTTGTTGCGGCGGATGATGGCCGTTGTTCCGAAATCGGGGTTCTTATGCTTAAGAAAGGTGGGCATGCGGTGGACTCGGCGGTGGCGACGGCATTGTGTGTCGGAGTTGTCAACCCTATGGCCAGCGGAATTGGAGGTGGAGCTTTCATGGTTGTTTGGTCTTCATCGACTTCACAAGTCCAAGCCTTCGATTCGAGAGAAACTGCTCCGTTAGCAGCTTCGCAGGTTCGGAATTCTCTCTTTCAGATATATTGTTTCTAAGACAAGTTGATCTATTATTGGTAGAATCTTCAATTGCAAGGAATTAAGTATTGCTCAACACATGCACGAGTTACAGCAAACGATTTTCTTGTTCATGTTGTCAATCTACCCTCATGAGTGTGATCTTTGTTGAAACATAAACTCGGGGAGGGTGCAGGGCGAACAATTTCAAATCAGAAATCCCCGTTCATTAGGTAGAGAAGATCACTGATATCCAGTGATCTGCTGCCGAACTTATTCCAATGCAACAATCATTCTCAATATTATCCTTTGCTGAGGACTCAAGCCTAGGCTCCTACCTTGTCTTGATTGTGCCTGCTAATATGTTGTTATTGTTAACCTGCAGCGCATGTATGAGAATGATATGAGAGCTAAGTACTATGGTGCATTGTCGATGGGAGTTCCCGGTGAGATCGCTGGCCTTCATGAAGCTTGGTTGAGATACGGTCGACTAGACAGGAAGACACTATTTGAGCCTGCAATTAAACTAGCTAAAGACGGATTTGTCATTGAACCATACCTCGGATTAGACATTGCTTCGCATGCACAGTTGATTATGGATGATCCCGGCTTAAGGCAGGTGTTTGCACCGGAGGGGAAGTTGTTACGAACAGGTGAGAAGTGCTATAATGTCAAGCTGGCACACAGCCTTGAGGAACTGGCAGAACATGGACCAGGAGCATTATATAACGGAACTATCGGAGAAAAATTGGTCGAAGATGTGAGACAGGTTGGTGGGATTTTGACAATGGAGGATTTAAGGAATTACAAGGTAGAAATTACAGATGCAATGACTGCAAATGTGATGAATTACACTATATATGGAATGCCACCTCCTTCAAGTGGAACCCTTGGTATATCTCTGGTCATGAACATCTTGGACAGCTATGGAAGTGCCAATGCCGCAAAGGGCGATCTCGGACTTCATCGCCTGATCGAAGCACTGAAACACATGTTTGCTGAAAGAATGAACTTGGGTGACCCTGATTTCGTTAACGTAACTGAATATGTATCTGAAATGCTTTCTGTTTCTTATGCAAAGCAAATCCAGGAAAAGATAGTCGACGACACAACATTCCCTGCAAGCTATTATATGTACAGGTATGTATGGTATACAAACAAACCCTTTAGAATCTTGTCAATGTAGCTTCCGAGCTTTTGTAATCCTTTTCATTACCAGATGGAGTCAACTTAGAGACCACGGAACTAGCCATTTCTGCGTTGTGGATGCTGAACGCAATGCCGTATCAATGACCACCACCGTAAATTACGTTTTCGGAGCTGGAGTGCTATCGCCTTCCACCGGTATTATCATTAACAACGAGATGGGCGATTTCTCAGCCCCAACAGAGATATCCCCAGACATGCTCCCTCCTGCTCCGGCTAACTTTATTAGACCAAACAAGAGACCTCTATCTTCCATGACACCACTTGTTATTACCAAGGTTTCAGAGCTTCCCAACACGATTGTGCAGCCAATAAATCTATGTGTCTTGTCCCTTTCACTAACCTTAATACCTCTTTTGGTAGGATAATCAGCTGGCCGGAGTCATTGGGGGCAGTGGCGGAATGAACATAATACCAGCAGTAACCCAGGTTTTTCTAAATCATTTTATCTTGGGGATGGAACCTTCGGCTGCAGTAGAACACCCAAGGATCTACCACAAGGTATGATTCAACCGAATACACAGATATAATAGTTGTATTTGAAAGGTTATCCAATGAACTTCATCTTTGGTTTGCTGCAGTTAATACCAAATGTAGTTTCGTATGAAAACTGGACTTGCATCGATGGTGATCACATCGAGCTTGCAGAGGAGACAAAGATATTCCTGAGAGAGAAGGGGCATCAGCTGGAGCCAAAGTCGGGTGGAGCTATCGTTCAGTTTGTTGTTCAAACACTCCAGGAACCAATAGTATCGGGTCGTAAATTCGGAAAAGATTCGTACATATTTCACGGAAAATTAACTGCTGTTAGCGACCCTAGAAAAGATGGCAAGCCTGCAGCCCTTTGAATAACTTGCTAAGCATCAGTTCTAGAAGCAATATGCCACTAAAGAAAAATTAAATGCAGTATATGTAAATTGAGGAATGAGATGGGGGAATTATAAACAGCCTGTTGGTGGGTGTGGATATAGCCTCTTGCGGACAATCTTGCCTTCGAAGATGAGCTATTCCATCGTCGTGGGAAAGATGACACCACCCTTGCTTGTTGCAGATAAAGACCAAACCATTCTTAAGTTCATTTGAACCTGTAATGCTTAGAAGTATTCGATAACAATGATATCAACTACGTTGAATATTTAATCAACGGATTCTTTTGCTGATTAATCACAAAAAATATATGATGAATAAGTCGATTACAAAGAACTTAAAAACTATGATTCATGTTAGACCAACATGTAAGCAAGGCTGTGGCTGCTATTAGAACAGGTTACAAGTTGTAAATAAAGTTTAAACATTATAACACTCATTAATATAAAGTAAATAAAAGATCTAATAAAGTATCGAAGCTTAAGGCCTGTCTGAGACACGAAAAGAAGTTGATAAAAATTCAAGTCGGAAACCTGAAAATCAGCATGAAGAATAGTACACAACAGGATCATTTTAGGATGTATGTAAGAACACTAGGCAGCTGGCTAATTTGCTTATTATAATCTATGCACTGCACGAACATCGATAAACTATCAACCTCAACTGGGGTTGCAGTTTCCATTATCAAACAATGGACTTGCTTCATCGACCTCATCTTCGATAATATCTTTGGGGTGCAAAAAGCTTGGTTGATTAGTTGAAGACAGAAGCCTTGCCCACATCCTATCTGTTATCACAACCTTGTTCTGTTTCTCGGTAATCCGCTGCACACAAAATATCATCCCAAATTAAAACTTTATATCAAACACGGTTTAAGGTCTGTTGCATCCATATCTAATTATATCCCCACCCTAAAGTCCATACATATATATATACACACATAAAGACATTCTTTGGGAGAGACTTTTGATATAGCATAGTGTACAACGAAGATTTTTTTGGTTGCTCTTCAGTTTCAAGGCTTAGTCCTGACTAATCTGGACCGACCCTGGTCGCACACCTGACTTTGATGGGTGAGTCTCCCAACGGGGATTTTCTGCATACACAAGGACTCGAACCTAAGACCTTACTTAAGCGATATCAAGCTGCTTACTACTTGAACCAACCCCCGTTGGTAGTGTACAACAAAGATTTGAATGCAAGTGTTACAAGGAATACTAGAACCTGAACATTGGATAACTGACCACCATAACTCCATAAGAGATGATGCATGCAGAGAATCAGAAAGGTTCCACATTGCAGAAGGGGTACTAAAATAACAGTCTCTGAATACTATGATGCTATTAAAAAAAATTGATTTTCTGAACTAAATTTCCAAATTAAAGCTCTTTATGTCATTTCAAACTCACGTAGAAAGGTATGTATGTCTGCCTGCCGTTGACAAGACCGCTTGTGTATCCGGTGTACCCAGCCATTGCTCCATGAACAGCACTTTGAGCAAGAAGTGTGCAGTAAACATTGTCAGATGCATTACTTGGAATAGCACGAATCATATAAGTAGGATCTGCGAGAAGATGAAAGAAAAATTTTCAGCAACTTCTGCCATTAACTAGTAAGTTCAACTGAAAAGACCTATGGTTTCTTTTCCTCTTGAGAAATGAAATCTGCAAGAGAATCTTAAATATTTATTCGACTGACCTATATATTTGAGATTTATGGTCATCATCGTTTCTTTTGAAAAGTGCTCCTGGAAATGACAGGAAAAAACCAATGAATGTCACATCAGAAGCTTTCATATTATAAATCATTACATGCCTGTGTCGCAAAGTCGAATCTATATGGCATACCTTGATCCTTTGCGAAAGCCATAGTCCAACATCCTGGAGAAGCTTGTTTCCTGAAGCATCTTTCTGTGTACTTGATTCAGCAAGCAGCTCCTGTCCTGCACCCTCTGCTATCACGAGAACCATGTGCCCATTTTCTTTAAGTCGCCTCTCAATGTATTCAAAAAGTCCTCCAGGTCCTTCAAGATAAAAGGGTGACTCCGGCATCAAGCAACAATCCACATCTCTGCTTGCAAGAGTAGCATACATTGCAATAAAACCTGAATATAACTGAGGGTTAGATTGCACTAAGAATAAAAACAATGAAAAATCTAACATTTTCAGGAAACGAAAAAGTATGATAAAAGGGAATGTAACTCCTCTGTAGAACAAAAGCATAAATGAAAGGAACAAAACCATCAACTTCACAAGATTAACACTTCCAAGAGATACCAAACAAGAAACTTACCACTGTAGCGACCCATCAACTTCACAAGGCCAATGCAATTCTCAGAACTTTCAGCTTCAACATGAGCAGCATTAATGGCACGTTGAGCCTCCTCAACAGCAGTATCAAAGCCAAAGGACTTGTCAATAACCTATTATGCATGAAACGGAAACAAATTTAAAAGACCGTGTGGTAACCAAATAAAATAGCTTGCAATTTCTAACAGGTTCTGGATCAAGAACATTTTATACAAGCCAAGAATATTACCGGGACGTCATTGTCAATGGTTTTAGGTATTCCAACAACTGAAACTTTAAGACCACGCCTTCTAACTTCCTATAAATTATGGAATAAACTTTTTATTTTCAATACGCATAAACTTGCATAGCCAATCAATGTATGCATATCCTATCATAGAATCACCTCAAAAATAACAGATGCTCCTCTCTGAGTTCCATCTCCACCAATAATGTAAACCTGTGGTACCACAGGGATATGTTAGTTAGACTGGTATGTCTTGATCATAATAACTAATTATAGTTCAAATTATTGGTAACACCCACAAATATCATAGTATTTCTATCAGACCTGATTAATCCCTCGATCCTGAATGCTGTCAACAATCTTTGTGGTATCATGCCCACCTCGTGATGTTCCAAGGATTGTTCCACCACGTTTATGGATACCATTGACAACCTTAGGATTTAAATGCACAGTATTTTTAGCATAAAACCCCCTGTATCCTCCCTGCAAATGCACAAAACTCATTTAATAATGGAAGACATTTATCATAAAACATCTTCTAACCAAGTGAAAAACATATCAGCATGAAAATGGTATGTTAACACATTTAATGAGGAGTCCATATAGCAAGTATCTATATGTTTTCATTAACTTATTTAGATGGGATGTTTTTATTAGCAATTTAAAGCCAGAAATTATATTAATGGTTCAAAAACTTCTCTTACTCCAAAAGGAATAAACTCGAGGCCAGATAATCACTTACATCTATGCCTAGAACTTTCTTCACACCATACATGTGGTACAAGCCGCATACGATCTCTCTAATCACGGTGTTGAGTCCAGGGCAAAGACTACCACAGGTTACAATACAGGCATGAACATCATCAGAGTGAAAATATACCTAGGAAACCATCAAATACCCAACAGATCATTGTAAAAACACAATTTAGAGTCCCATCATTCCGCATTTCATGTATTAGTGTCAAACGCATACCTTTTGACGTGGTCCAGCTCGTCGGAAATGCACTCCTCTGGGACTATCCTTGTGAACAACAATCTGTAAAGACACGGAAATACATGAAAACTATATTAAAAGTACATACCCGATACAAGTATACGTCATTTTTTTAGTTTATTTTAATATTTGGATTCATACCTATATCTGAATATATGTTGATATACATAGATATGGATATATTAGATATTGTTAAGCTAACCTTTTGAGGAACGGTGTCATCTACATGGACAAAATATTGCCTGGTGGAACAGGGAAATTGATCTAATTAATAGCAGAATCGACAAGGAATATATGTATGTGTGTAAAGAGTTGTGAAATGAGGCTTACTTAACAACTGAGTATGCCGGATTGTCTTGCAACGGATTGGTATAAACCTTACATGTAAAAGGCCAAAAAAATCAGATAGACCTGTAGGAATTACTTTTTAACTTATTTATTATCAAACAACTATAAAAAGAAGATATGAATGCAACAATGGAATCTAGAACTGTAATTTGTGCCCAGAAAAAAATTTCTGGGAAATCGAGCTTATGAAAAGTTAGTTTGCTTTTACTTCTCAAAAGCCATTTTACCAGCAACAAATAAATTATACTTACAGGAAGATCAGGGATGTAATCCAACAAGTGAGGAACATCTTCAAGAACATAACCACCGGGACCGGGGATGATCTTAGGCTTAGGTGTCTCAGGCGAAGCGGAGGAAGCCATCGAACACCCAATCTTCAAACCACCAGAACTACTGCTACTGCTACTGCTACTACTACCACTCAAACGACAAAATAACAACCGAAATTAACCGAACTGAACTTTCACAAATTAAAGATACCCAGATTTAACGGGACAGAATAAAATCCATTCAACGGCACATGGGGACGAGTTCTTGGAAACGAAGGAAAAAAGGAGAAAATCCCATATTTATAGGAGAATTAACTGTTTGACTAGAGAGGAAAAAAAATTGAAAAACTGGACGAGCTTTCGAGAACAATGGCCTTTATATAGCATAAGAAGGAAAGATCAATGGAAAATCCTTGTTCCGCCCCTCTTGTTGATTAATTGTGTGGGTTTTGACGCTTAGAGAAAAGCGAAAGAAGATCACAATCGTACGGCTTTGGCTTTTTCTTTTATTTTCCTTATTGGTTTCCTCCCAGGTTGGGTGTTGACTGATCTATTCAAAGTGATGAAAATGAAGGTTCGACTTTATTTCTTGGTTAGGAAAATTGGCTTCTTTTCGGTCTATTGGGACAACGCCATTACCGGGTGTGATTACGCACGCTGGATGAACGTTCTTCCTCTGTAGCTCTAGCTATTGTATCGCAAGGATCAATACACTTTTCAATTGTCTAAGTTATATTTGAAATTAATTTTTTGATATTTAAAAAATTTCTTAATAAAATAGACGTATAATATTTTTTTTCTCTATACTTTTAAGAGAAAATAACCTCAGTGACCAAAAATCCCAGATAATATACGATTTTGATCAATTGTTTTTGGAATTTTATTAAAATGACCAACAAATCGCAAATTCGCGTTGCGATAATTGAAAATCGCGTTGCGATAGTTGAAAATCGCGTTGCGATTTTCCATTTCGAGTTGCGATTTTCCATTTCGCGTTGCGATTTTCCAGTTCGCGTTGCGATAGTTGAAAATCGCGTTACGATAGTTGAAAATCGCGTTGCGATTTTCCAGTTCGCGTTGCGAAAATTCGTTTAAAAAAAAAAGATTTTGTTTCTTAAGAATTTTATCTAAAAAGATAGTATCCGCGCGGACGTGTCGAAGACATGTACGACCACGACCACGACCACGACCACGACCACGACCACGACCACGACCCGAGACGAGACGGACGGCGGCGGCGGCGCGCGAGAGTCCCCCTTGTTCTCTATCACTCAACAAGGAAGTGGGAAAGCCAAGCCTTAAATACCATTCCCAATAGTATTTCCAATACTATGTGGGATTTGAGTATTACCAACACTTGTTCCCAATACTATGTGGGATTGAGCCTTAAATAGTGATATTATTTTTGAATGTTTTGCTTAAAATTGCAATAATCGCGATTGATTGTAGATTGACTTTTAATTATGACATATTTAATCGTATAATACTAATGCAATTGGTTGTTGATTCAGTTGTTTTAAGGTGCATGATTGTTAATTGTTTCCTGAATAATCACATTGTATTGGAAACAAGTGTTGGTAATGCTCAATCCCACATTGTATTGGAAACAAGTGTTGGTAATGCTCAATCCCACATAGTATTGGAAACACTATTGAGAATGATATTTAAGGCTTGGCTTTCCCACTTCCTTGTTGAGTGATAGAGAACAAGGGGGACTCTCACGCGCCGCCGCCGTCCGTCCATCTCGTCTCGTCTCGTCTCGTCTCGTCTCGGGTCGGGTCGGGTCGGGTCGGGTCGGGTCGTGGTCGTGGTCGTGGTTGTGGTAATACGTGTCTTCGACACGTCCGCGCGGATACTATCTTTTTAGAGAAAATTCTTAAGAAACAAAATCTTTTTTTTAACTATCGCAACGAATTTGGAAAATCGCAACGAATTTGGAAAATCGCAACGACATTGTAGACTATCGCAACGCGAATTTGCGATAGTAGAGATCGCAATGCGAATTAGAGATCGCATTGCGATTTTGTTGGTTATTTTCGCAAATCCAAAAAAAGTTGGTCAAAATCGTATATTATCTGGGATTTTTGGTCACTGAAGTTATTTTCTCTACTTTTAAATGTCAATCGTTATATATTTTTATTATTTTTTAATAATATTATTATTATTTAAAAAATTCAATAAAAAAATAAACCCCGTGTTGTCCCTCTCTCTCCCATCTTCCCACCTCCGACGACGACGAAGGGTTACCACCGACTGAGTTTTGTTCGGAGTAAGATAAGGAACTCAATGATGACGGTTATGTAACATACGATGAGCTGTAACCGTTGGAATCATCGAAAAACAACGAATAAAAACTTAGAAAATCAGTGACCTTTCATGGTGCTTTTCACGATGATCAGCGTAGTTTCACGGCGGGTGGATAATTGAGTTCTGTTCGCGGCGGAAAGACAATTCTGATGGTGTTAGCGGTGATGGTCACAAACTGATGAGTGTTTTAGATTGAAGTTATTTACTTGTTAATTCTTCAATGTTATCGATTTATTATTGCAGATTTAGTTATGTTTTGTTTATTTTTGTGCAAGAATCAATTTTTTCATAACTGACAGTAAAAAGGGAACAATATGTATTTTTTTATTATCCGATTATGGTGCTTAGCAATAACTCAATTCATATTGTGAGAATTGAAAAGCGCTTAAAATCTTCGGATTACATTCTCAATTTTCTGCAAACTTAGTTTAACAATCGAACTTACTTTTAAAAATCAAAAAACTTTTATTTCAAAAAGTCGACGTTCATCTGGATGTTTTGATTTAAAGTTGAGAGGAAAAATTGAATGGTAGCAAGTTCGACTTCCAAGGAACACACTTAGCGGCGGTCCGCTAAGGGAAATTGAGATCATATTCGATTCTTATTAAGACAACATAATTCGAGTCAGGCTTTTCCACAACTAGTTCAATCAAGGACTGAATTTCAAAGATTGTCTTGGGAATACAGTTTATCAAAGAGAAAAACAAGTTACAATGATAGGGCCTTGTAGACTATAACCGACATGACTCCCAAAGTAAAATCTATTTCGATGTTTGAAACGTATTGAGATAAAGCAAAGCTTCTGGCTATTTTCCATCATTATTATTTTCAACCCTTTTACTATTGTTCTTAGTTATTTTTAATTAGTTAATTTTTATATTTATTTCACCAAACCCCATTTTCTTTTTATTGTGTTATAAGTTATCTGGATCAGAATCGACTCAATTCTACATCAAAAATTTCTAAGTCCTTGTGGATCGACTCTTTCTTCTATTTACTATGCACATTCATTATTTATTTATTTTGAGATTAAAGGAATTTTATTTGATAGTAAAATGACGCTTTTCAAATTGGTGGCGTTGCCAAGGATTTCGGCAAATTAGTGATATTGTTTGTTTTGATTTTTGACCAGAAGGAATCCAAGATAGCTAGTAGATTTTGAACCTGAGATCGAAGCACTAGCCCAGAGAATACGTAGACTAACACTTCGAGAAATGAGGAAACAACAACAATCCGAATCAAATCTAGACGCATCATCTGACGCAGAAACCAACTTCACACATGAAGAACCTATTCTGATGACATATCAAACAATCCGAGAATTGGCTATGACACTATCTTGCGACAACCGTTATGCGTCGTATTTCCTCTTGGTAAAACTTTATTTCAGTTTAAAACGGGTCTTCTTCATCTTCTTCTTACATTGCACGGATTACCAAGTGAAAATCCGCATAAACATCTCATGGAATTTCACATTGTTTGTTCAAGCATGAAACCTCAGGAAGTATCTGAAGATCAGATAAAACTTCGAGCTTTTCCTTTTTCCTTAGCTAATTTGGCTAAGGAATGGTTACTTTATTTACCTCTTAATTCTGTAACAACATGGAATGACATGTCTCATCTTTTTCTTGATAGGTTTTTCCCTACGATGAAAGTGAGTGCATTAAGGAGAAGCATATTGGGAATCCGACAGAAAAATAGAGAGTCACTTTACTACTATTGGGAACGATTCAAGAAGCTATGCGCTAGTTGTCCTCAACACGGATTAACTGAATATACCCTTCTAAATCACTTCTACTAAGGCTTGCTTGCTTTGGAGATGAAGATGGTCGATGCCGCTAGTGGAGGAGCTCTCGTCAATATGACCCTGAATACAACTAGAAATTTAATTTTTACAATGACTGTCAATTTCCAATAGTTATGTTTTCCTTGTGAACCCACCGATGGGTTCACGAGATAAATATAATTTCTTTAGAAAGTAAGATCGATAAATTGACTGATGTGGTTAATTCTTAAGTTATTGGTTGTCTTAGAGCTCGTATAGGTTTATTTAGGAGCATTTAATTGTATTTGGTGGTTTGGCTTTGTTGTGACATTTTTATTTATAAGTGGTGCTATATTACAGGGAAGGTTATGCTCTTGTTGGTGATGTGCAGGTCGACGAAGCATAGGGAGAACATGGAGGATTGTTGCATCATTCCTAGATGGCGAGTGAGGAGAATTGCTAAGGCAAAATGGGACAGCCACTGTATGCAAACAAAGACAAAAATGAAAAAGATATTTTTATGGGAGATGCCAGTTATACACACTCACATATTGTTTGCCACCAACCGCCTAGGAGGGGACCATACCCTCTTTTGTCACCACTTTCACGTGAAATGAATGTACCTTAAGGTATTAAGGGATTTTTTTGCACTAAAACCTAAAAAATTCCCTTAGTATAAATAGAAAAGGTGGGCACAAAGCTAGAAGAGGATTCTTTAGAGAAGGAAAGTGTGAGCTAAGAAAAGCGGATAGAAAGCTTCCAACTTTCTTTCCCCTTTAATCTTTTCAAGGGTCTCCTCCATAGTCAAGCTCAAGGGAATGGTGTGCTAGGCATCCGAGAGGAGCTAGCGCTCTAAGGCAATATTCATGGTGGTCGAGGAGCAACGACAGTGTGCGCTGGGAGTGTCCTCCACACTTATGCTTTATTTTCCTTTTGATTTGTTAGGTTGTATGGCTTGAAATATTTTTATGGATGTTTCAAACCCCACCATGAACTACGCTTTATATGGTGTGGTTTTTTTATGGATGATTGAGTACTTGTTTTAATGAATGCTTGATGTTTTTATGTTC